TTTTTTTTTTTTTTTTTTTTTCTGTCAACTCTAGATAGCCAGAGCGAGTCAAATAATCATGTGATTATTAGGAGTTAATTAAAGGATAGAGTTGTAGACTTTGGAGGTGGTGGTATAGTGCAGACTTAAAAGGTTCCCAATCGTTGGAGGTCGACCCTTCAGACCTTCTCTCTCTCACTCACTCATAGGCTTGCACACACAGAAATACAAGTCCATATCTTTGATTTGCATTGTCACTGTGATTTTTTTTTATTTTTTTTTGGGGGGGATTCCTTTCAAGTTTTAATGGGTTCCAGAATAATCATGTGCAGAGGTGGGGATTTTTTGGAATGAAGAAATGAAAATAGTAACACTATAACTTTTCATTCTGCTAATACAGTGTACAGACCTATAAATTCCGTGTGACAGAGTGACTCAATGATGTTCAGTAAGAATTGTTTTTGGCCCAAACAACTAACTTTCTGAAATTTGAATATGCCATGATGGAGTTGTTTGGGGATAAGTCAGCTTTGATTTATGCATTTAAGTAGTTAGGAGATCTTCATTAACTTCAGCATCATAACAACTTATTCCCAAACCTAATAATAAGTTGTTGACAAAGGTGTTGACTTAAGATTATGTTAGAGGTTGAGCTTCTAGTTTGCACGGATAGTTGGTGACGTAATTTTTCTTGTCCTGCTTGTGTGTTCAGTTTGTATCTCTTAGGTTAGAAGCGTTTCAACCAATCTCACGGTTAACAAATATACAAGGCATTTGTATAATGGAACTCAGTTTTAAGTGGTCGTTTTCCCCCTATATCTTGTTTATTATGGAGAATGTAAGGAAGATTTTATTCTGGAAATCAAAGCATCCATGTGTCATAAGCTGTGCAATTTGGGAATACTGGTACAGTCAAATGGAGTAGAGAGTTCGAAGACATTTTTACTGAGAAATATTATATCCCTTCTGGAAGCTATGTGCTTGTTTTTCCTAATTGGTATTTAATTTTTTTAATAACAAATGTGTATTTGTTTGTTTGTATTATGGTTTTTTTGGATTTTTGGTTTTCCATATATACTAAATTATGCAGTGATTACTAATTTCGAATATGGAATTTAGTCACATGAATATATGATGTGTTTTATGAACCATATAGACCTTACTTCCGCCACAAAAATCCCTATAAATCGGTACACGAAATTTGTCTGACTTTCTCATACTCCATAGTCCATATATAGTTGTGTAGAAGTGTCTCGCTCAACTCCATGTAGTCTGCAAGTATATACAGAAATTTGAGTTGACTACATCCCTTTATTTTTTTTCTGTCAGTTTTGTTGCATTGACTTTTTCTTGTTTTCTTGTAGTCGTTTTTGGCCATCTGTGAAGGCGTTCCTCTATGAAGTTCCAATGTTGGGATGGATCATAAGGTTTCTGTTCTGGTGAGTTGAACTTTATGTTGTTTTATTGTTTAAGATGTTCTATGCTGCAAAGCCGTTTGATTTTCACTGGATGGTCTGCTGACATTGAACCCATAGTTCAATCGTTAGTGTAAAGTAATTGAATTTAACTTCACTTGGTGACAGGACAGCTGAGTCTTAGTTTACTCACAAATTTATCGTTCTCTGATTTTTTTTTTTCTTTTCCATTTTTCTTGTTATTATGCAGAGAGATTCCAATTTAACAGTCATGTCTGCCTCCTTTTTTCATCGTAAAGAATACACGTGCACACTAAACACATGCCACAACTTTTTCGAAAGATGTTTACAGTAAAATATGCAACTCTTTGTGTTGTTGTAGAAAACGTTTTGTGGTAAAATTAATATCGGAATTGGTGGGAAAGAAAGTAGTAGGTAGAGTAGGGTGTATACATAATTTATTGGTCCCAATGCAGTTGCTTCCTAATTTCACTAATTTCCTAAGATGGACGGATACGCGGACTTAGGTCCGTATCCCATATCAGATACGCAGTTGGATACGATCTGCATCGGATATGCTCCGATATGTGTTGGATACATGTTGGAGTCAACGGATACGATCCTTGACTAACGGATACGTGTATCCTAGGTTCTGGACACGAGTATCAGACATTTTGGATACGTTTCTAGTCAATCTTGAAGCCAACAAAGAGAGGGAGAAGGAAAGATTCGGAGAGAGAGGAGAGGAGAGGAGAGGAGGAAGAAGAAAAGATAGGACGTACGCTGGTTGCTGCGTGTGAGGAGGGAGAGAGAGAGATGAAGGAGGAGAAGAGAGATTGTGGAAAAAGAAAAAGGAGCTGCACAAGCTCGAGGAAGAAGAAGAAGACGTAATTTTTATTTTTTAATATAAATTCTCAAATGAATGATGTCGTGGTTATAAAAAACATAGATATGTTGACCAAAAATAATTAAAGATCTGTTTATGGGTTTTGGGTCTTAATCAATAATATTAAAATGGGCCTAAAAAGATATGAAACAAGCTATACCGGCCTAACAAATATAAAGAACCAAAAAAGAAAGCTCAAGCTATAATAAAAAAGAAAATGAAAATGAAAAGAAAGCCCAAGAATGATACACTATATTTATAATTTTATGTTATTTAAAACATGTTTTAAATTATATATATTATTATTATTATATTTTAATTTCCGTATCCATGACGTATTGTATCCTAATTTTTGGAGATTTTCCGTATCTCCATATCGTGTCGTATCGTATCGCCATAACCGTATCCGTGTCCATGCTTCTTAGTAGTGAAAGCTTTAAAGAACTAATTTAAGAATTTATAGATGAGATAATTGTAAAAGTTAAAAGTTTGGATCAGGATCCTCTACCCCTTCAAAACTGTACCAAACTATACCTGACTATTCAGTCTATTCTCACTCGTCACATCACATGTATTGTTTATGATGAACAAATTTGGCAGCCATGATTGTTAAAATGAAATCTCTCTGCACAGTTTTTGGATGGACAAGATTAATAATTAGGTACAGTCTGGTAGAGTTGCAAATGGGTAGAGGATGTAAGTCCTCAACGTTTACTTGTTACAAAAGCTATGGTATCTGTTTTCTAAGGGAATATATTGTTTTCTGAAGATTTACTTTTTAATGGTTGAGCATGTAGAATGCATACCTATATTAACAAACTTTCTTGTTCCATATTACTTAAAATACAGTAAATTAATGATAGGTTCCGAAAAATCCCTGTTGATTCGTAAATTTGGACAAAACTGACCTTTAGTTGGCTGTCCTAAGTGCTGAACCATGTCAGGCTGAGCAACTGATTCATGACTTTTTACAACTTCTAAGAATTTTAGTTCTTTTAGGAAATGAATGATTTTTTGAATTTGATAAATTATAGTTTCTTAGGGAGTTATTGGGGTTTAGGTCTGGATAAGATATACAGGTTTAGGTCTGTTGGAGTTAGGGCTTTCATAAATCGTAAGACTAAATCCTAAACCCTAAGTCCCAAAATGGAATCTGAAAATGAAATGGAAGCTATTTAATTGAGTGACATTGATATATTCTTACTGAGTTAGGATTTAGTAGGCACATTCGGATTTAGGGCATTAAAAAAGTTGACAAAAAACAATTGAAAAAGAAAAGATCCAGGCAGATTGCCTGGCCTGGCCGATCACTCGGCTTTGGAACAGCGCTAGCTAAAAATGTGAGAAAAGTTCAGACCTATTGCTGAAAAACACCCCTTTTTGGGACCTCTTGAGAAAGAAACCCGTGGAAATAAGTAAGAAATGTTTCTGGTTTGCAGCATATATGCCTGGATGTGTGAGATTCATGCCCTAGGTTGCAGCAGTTACCAATTTTAACAAATATTGCCACGGTTCCTTTTTGCACAGTCCATAGAAAAAGAAATAATTTATGTTTTGTTTGGAATGGCCATGAACTTCAATATATTATCTTCGTATGACTTGCAGATTCTTGATCTCCTTCAGGACGGGCTTCGGTTGAGCACCCCATTGAAACCTGGTGTCTGCTTTTGAAATATCTCATGTCTCATTTTTGTTGTATCATATATATGGCTTCGTGATTCTATCAGAAGCTGAAGGAGATGTACCAATTGGCTTCTTGTGTGTTGGAGATTTCAGCATCAGACTAGCCAAAAAGAGAAAGAGAGACTACAAATTGGCTTCCTATATAATCAACACTTCCTTTGAGGCCTAACCAAGAAAAAATATATGTTCATTTTATTGTTTATATATTAAATTTTCGAAGCCAAAAGTCGTTTTTGGTCCCTGTAGTTTGGCATTTCAACCACTTTTGATCCTGTAGTTTCAATTCCGTCAATTTTGCCATTGTAGTTTCGTATTTGTAGCAATTCAAGGACATGTTAGTATTCTTGTCAATTTCTTTAACGATGCAAGGGGCAATTTTATCAACCCAAAACCTTTGAGTGTAAAAGCTTGTTTGAAATTCTCCCCATTTCATATTCGGGCTCGAAATTCAACCACTAATCCTAATTTTTGAAGAACCCTAAATCCAAATGACCAATTTCAAGCCCTAATATGAAATTAGGTGAGTTTGAGACGAGCTTCTATGCTCAAGAATTTTGGGTTGACGAAATTGCCTCTTGCACTGTCAAAGAAATTGACAGGAATACTAACTTGTCCTTGAATTGCTACAAATACGAAATTACAGGGTCAAAAGTGGTTAAAGTGCCAAACTACAGGGACCAAAAGTGACTTTTAGCCAATTTTCTATAACAAAATTGACCTCCCCTGCCCTCGCCCCATTCACCTTTGCATCCAACGATCGTACGTAATTCTTCCATTTTTTATGTTGGGTTTAAGCAGGAGGATGCAAGCATCCATAAGTATATTATTGCTTGCTTCATCGACACTGTCACAGGGCCAAAATTCTTGGCTTATTCGAAAGCCGACCACGCCTTGTCTCGTTTACCGTCTTTGACATGGTGCAAGGTCACGCAAGAACTTACATGGACTGATCATGTGCGAGGTCAGACTATCAGGGTCTTACACACACACCATAAGTACGTCATTGTTCAGTTCACACGCCACGCCATCTATAATAGGCGATGGTTTGTAGGTCAAACATTCAAGTCGCTTTACCCAACTTAAATTGTTCAGAGAACTTCAAAATAACTAGGTTTTTCGTGAAAAATGAAAATAGTTTTTGGAGAAGATTCAAAAAATGAAATAGAAACTTTTGGGTTAATTGTAGAAATAACCTCTAAACTATTACCCGAGTTTCACTTTAGTTCATAAATTCATTTATTGGATCCTATAATCCTAAGCTTCATTTTCTCGTATGTTAGTTCAAAGACTATTGCTACAATTAACCTCTCGAGAATTGTTTGCATACGCAACCGAAAGAGGATTTGATGTCCTTTTGTTTATTAAAGAACATGAATGGGTTAAATTAAAGCTGGCCAAGAGTTTAGCAGGCAAGAAAAAACGAAAATATTAGCTTTAGAGTTGGATAGTGAGATGGTATGTCTAGACTGGTCTTAAATGCTGCCAGGGAGAGTTGGATTTTGAGGCATTAAAGTGATATCTACTTGCCATCTTAAATGCCTGGCCTGCCCTCGTCCTATTAATGTAAGCCAATTTAAGAACACTCTTAAGTAGACAAGCACCCTTTGCATGACCTCTGCAGTCCAAAAAGTTGAGAGGATAATTTTGGATGCCCTACCTACACCATACTTTCTCTTTTGCATTCAAAGTTTCCTCAATTTGGTTTCTCTTCTTCTTCTCTTTTTCTTTTTATTATTTAGTTTTTCAATCACCTCACTTCCTGAAGGATAGCTCAAAGAAGCGAAGAATCCAAGCTAAGTATGGAACTTCCAGAGCTCTCTTTAGCTCCAACACAGGCACAGCCGGTGTTTCAGAAAAGCATTAGTCGTTCTAATAATCCATTGGAATCAGCTGAAAGCAACACTTCTAGGAAGAGGAAGCTTTTCCAAGATCACCAACTCCTGAAGACTGAAGCATCTTTTCAAACAAGTGTTGATCTTCAACTTAAAGACCCCCTACCAAAGGATTGGGAGCAGTGTCTTGATCTTGAGGTCTCTCTCTCTCTCTCTCTCTCTCTATATATATATATTGAGGATATGGAAAAATATAGTTTAATTCCTTCACGTGTTATATAAATAATTACTTATATAGGTAGTGTTAATAAAATAATTATTTATATTACAGTACATATGAACGAGTTATATCACGTGATCGTATCTATAAATTTTGTGAAATATTAGTTATCTTAAAAATTATAATCAATTGTGCAGTCAGGAAAAATGTACTACCTAAACAGAAAGACCTCAAGGAAGAGTTGGAACTGGCCTATGGACCAGGCAGTGAACCTTGAGCTGAACATCTCAACCATCTCAGGTTCAAGTTCTGATCAGCGATCCAGCCCAAGCCTAAAGACAATCGAAGAGGCCAAGAATGAGAAGCCACAAAGTAACATGGTGGCTTTGGCTTGTTTCAATTGCCATCTCCTTGTCATTCTCTCCAAGTCTTCTCCTTGTTGCCCCAACTGCAAATATGTCCATTCACTTCCAACTTCCATCCAACCAAATTATAATTCATCTTAAATACAACATTGAGCTGCCATAAAGGCACTAGAAGCTATAGAATCAACCTTTTGAGTTATGCTCATGCATATGTTTGGTTTTCATTAATGTTGTATTCAGAGACTGGTTAATTATAAATTATAATCTATGCATGCAAAGATGTTGTGTAATTTTGTTATTTTTGGTTGATCCTAGTCTTAGTTTGGGAGGTAGAACATTATGAGTTTTAGTTTAAGCTGCACTTAATTAAGGAAAGGATTATCAACGATTTTACCCTTGAACTATGACCCTAATCAAATTAACTTTTCAGTCAATTTAGCACACTAACTTATATAAATAGCCAATTTAGCTCTTACCATCAATTTTTTCGAATTCATCCACTATTTCGTTTGAAAAGTTACATGCTTGGTATATGACTTACTATTTTATTTTTAAAAAATAAATTATTAAAGGACTAATGGAAGATGAAGGGGAATAACTGAAATTGAAAACTGATGAGCAATTTGTTAAACCCTAGATTACGAGGATTAAAATTTCAATAAGTAATGAAGCAAAAAATTACAGAAGGAGATCAGAGTCTGCTCGATACATAAAGCTCACTTCTCAGTAAAAATAAAAAATAACCAATGTTTCAGACTCATAGAGGTAGAGTCTCTGATAGTAGAACCCACCGGGTGGGCAGACTAAATCATTGCCGCAAAAGGATAGAATAGGAAAGTACGGGAGAGAGACTCATCTGGATGATCGCAGAAAAGGCACCTAGCGACATCAAGCGACACCCCTTTATGGGACAATTTTTCTCTGGTAGGCAGGATGTCAAGGAAAGTCCGCCAACCAAACAATCGCACTCTGGGCGGAACATGAATATTCCAGAGCTTCTTCCATACTCTAGAGGGAAACCCAACGAAACTCTCACTACCAGACGTGCCCAAACCATCATCAGCCAACAAGAGTTGACGGGTCACCTCATACTCGTGCGCTTGTAACAAGTCCTACCTGTGCAGACTACCCAACTATCTTCCATGTATCCAAGTATCCATGTCCAATGTTTCCAAGTATTAGTATCCAAGGGGAGGTACATATGATAGTACACATCATGTACCGGGGAAAACAATCCAACGCGGGAATCGTTTGACTAAACCACACAAAGGAATCCTCAACAACCATGTGGCCAGGGACGAGCCGTCCAACTAGGGGACTGGGCTCACACGCACAACAGAATCCTCAATAGTCGTGCACCTGTGACAAGTCCTACGCGCGCACACTACCCCACTAAGGGTCTACGATAATACCCCGTCAAGGGTGACCGGGTTCCAATATACCCAAACCATACCCACAGTTTTCCAAGTATCCATCTGTAGGGGTCTTTTTGTTCCAACAACCTGACGAATGGGTTGGGCTGCCATAAGAGGAAGACAAACAAAATTCCCCAATGCATGAGTTCAAGAACCAGGCTTCCAAAAGAGTTTTGAAAGGCTTGCTGAAACCTTAAAAAAAATACTTTTGGGTTCTTTTCACCAATAACCAAATAAACGTGACAAGTTGATAAGGGGCTTGGCTTGAGAAGCTTGTGGCATGGGAGTTAAGCCTTCACAAGTTTAGCAATTTGAGAGAGAGATAAAAGCATGAGTTTCTTTCAGAAGTAAAAGGCTTAGAGTGGAAAAAGGAAAATTCGAAGGATTTCTATCTCAGAAAGAGAGAAAAACAAGGGAAATAAAAAATGGGGTGTCTAGAGTAAATTCCAGTTTTGCTTGACAAAGCTTGGTCCTGCTCTGGAATGGTGATTTTCTGGGTAAAGGAAGCTCTCTTTTATAGGCATTTAGAACCCTAATTTCGTTAATCCATTCCCACTTTTCCTTTGCTTTTTTTCATTTACTCCCTTTTGGTGCAATTTCTCCAACCAGAGTGTATGGGTCACAAGCTCTTTGTGGTTCCAAGGTTTTTTTGAGCGGCTGGACCTCCCCATGGGGGTGAGGTGCCACTTGCTTTCCTTCTTGGTTTTCAAAATGGAGCTTACAGAGGAAAAGAGAATGGGTAGATTCATTTGTCCAAGGGGTACTCCTCTCACATATATAGATTTCCTTTGGTCCCTGCTATGGCTCCTCGTTGACCATCTTGGAATTCTGACAGGGGTGGAACACGATGCTAGATTTTTTACAAAGCGCTGGGCTGGGCTTTGTGTACAGTATTGGGTTATTGGCATGCTACTTCCAGTATCCAATGGGTTTTCGTCAAGTTGCTGGAAATAGCCTATTTGTTTTATTTTGGGCATTTTACTTATATGGGTTTTTACTTATATGGGTTTGTAAAAGAGAGTTGATAGCAAGGTACACCCCACAGCAAAACGGAGTTTGCGAACGAAGAAATCGAACCATTGTCGAGATGGCAAGAAGCATGTTGAAGGCAACGGGTCTGCCAAATGCATTTTGGGCTGAAGCAATTCATATAGCAGTGTTTATTCTTAATCGGTCTCCAACCAAGGCAGTTAAAGATAAGACTCCTTTTGAAGCATGGCATCATTTTAAACCAAAGGTGGATTTCATCAAGATTTTGGGCAGCATTTTATATGCACATATTCCTTCTCAAAAGAGAGAAAACTTTGATGAGAAAGGTGAGAAATACTCTCTTGTGGGCTATAATGATCAGTCCAAACCATACAGATTAA